ATATACACTAACGATGAACTAGCAGAAAGAGAAATCAGGAAAATAATTCCATTCACAATCACATCAAAAAGAATAAAATACCTAGGAATAAACCTAACCAAGGAAGTCCAAAACCTATACTATCAAAACTAGAGGACACTCAAGAGAGAAATTAAAGACACCAATAAATGGAAACACATCCCATGCTCATGGATAGAAATTAATATTGTCAAAATGGCCATTCTGTCTAAAGCAATCTACAGATTCAATGCAATCCCTATCAAAATGACAACAGCATCCTTCAACAAACTAGAGCAAATAGTTCTAAAATTCACATGGAACCATAAAAGACCCCAAATAGCAAAAGCAATCCTGAGAAGGGAGAATAAAGTGGAGGGATTATGCTCCCCAACTTCAAGCTGTACTACAAAGCCACAATAATCAAGACAATTTGGTAGTGGCACAAGAAGAGACCCATAGACCAATGGAACAGACTAGAGAACCCAGAGATAAACCCAAGCATATATGGTCAATTAATATACGATAAAGGAGCCATGGATATACCATGGGGAAATGACAGCCTCTTCAACAACTGGTGTTGGCAAAATTGGACAGCTACATGCCAAGAGCATGAAACTGGATTATTGTCTAACCCCATACACAGAAGTAAACTAAAAATGGATAAAAGACCTGAATGTAAGTCATGAAACCATAAGAGAACACAGGCAAAAATCTCCTGAATATAAACATGAGCAATTTTTTCCTGAATGCATCTCCTCGGGCAAGGGAAACAAAAGCAAAAATGAACAAATGGGAATACATCAAGCTAAAAGTTTCTATACAGCAAAGGACACCATCAGTAGAACAAAAAGGCATCTTACAGTATGGGAGAATATATTCCTATCCGACAAGGGGTTAACATCCAAAATATATAAAGAATTAACACACCTCAACACCCAAATGGTAAGTAACCCTATTAAGAAATATGAACAGACACTTCTCCAAAGAAGAAATTCAGATGGCCAACAGGCACATGAAAAGATGCTCCACATCACTAATCAGTGAAATGCAAATTAAAACCACAATGAGATATCACCTCACACCAGTTAGGACGGCCAACATCGAAAAGACTAAGAACAACAAATGCTGGTGAGGATGTGGAGAAAAGGGAACCCTCCTACACTGCTGGTGGGAATGTAAACTAGTTCAACCACTGTGGAAAGCAGTATGGAGGTTCTTCAAAAAACTAACGATAGAAATATTATTTGACCCAGGAATTCCACTTGAAGGAATTTACCCAAAGAAAACAAGTTGTCAGATTCAAAAAGATATATGCAACCCCTCTGTTTATTGTAGCACTATTTACAATAGCCAAGACATGATAGCAAACTAAGTGTCCATCAGTAGATGAATGGATAAAGAAGACATGGTAGATACACACAATGGAATACTATTCAGCCATAAGAAAGAAACAAATCCTACCACTTGCAACAACATGGATGGAGGTAGAGGCTATTATGCTCAGTGAAATAAGTCAGGCAGAGAAAGACAAATACCAAATGATTTCCCTTATTTGTGGAGTATAACAATGAAGCAAAACTGAAGGAAGGAAACAGCAGCTGACTCACAGACTCCAAGAAGGGACTAGCGATTACCAAAGGGGAGGGATAAGGACAAGTAGGGTGGGAGAGAAAAGGGAATTGTGGGGTATTATCATTAGTGCACATGGTGTGTGTGGGGTCACAGGGAAGAGTGTAGCACAGAGAAGACAAGTAGGGACTCTGTGGCATCTTACTACACTGATGGACAATGACTGCAATGGGGAACGGGGGGACTCAATAATAAGGGTTAATGTAGTAACCACATTGATTTTTTTGTGAAACCTTCATAGGAGTGTATATCAATGATTCCTTAATAAAAAGAATAAAAACAACAACAAAAAAAACACAAAGCAAAACAGTAGGAATAAAACAGCAACAGACTCATAGATACCGAAAGGGGACTAGTGATTACCAAGGGGAAGAGGTTTAAGGAGGTTGGGGGGTAGAGGGGATTCAGGGGCACAATAATTCACAATTACAATATAAGTTGGTTATGTGGATGGCAGTACAGCACGGACAAGAGTTAATGATTCTCTAACATCTTACTACGCTGATGGACAGTGACCACACTGGAGGGGGTGAGGAGTTGCTAATAAGGGCAAATGCTGAAACACTGTGTTGTGTATTTGAAACCAATGTGACTGTGTATCAGCGATACTTTAATAAAAAAATAGAAAGGTAGCTGGGTAAACTTGCCAGGACACATTATTAATATTTGGACCCAGATCCCTAGAATTCCAAAGCCTATAATTCTATCACATTCTACTAAATTATCATCCATCAGGCTGAGTAAATCTCATGATTTTATGGGAAATTTTAAATATCCTTGGAAAGAATTTAAAGTATCTATATATCAGGTGGGGTCCAATGATTAGTTCTGAAATGACCTAATTCAGGGTTCTAATGGCCTAATTACAATGGAGCTTATAGAACTGTCCTTTCAGTCCTATGGTAACAGAGTCTCTGAAGCAAAAATTTGCAGTGGTTTCACAGCAATGGTTCTCAGCAATTTTCTAGTTATTTATTTTATTTTTTTAATGTCACTATTTGTTTCACCATTTTAGAGTTGATTATACTAAAAGTACATATTTCTTGAAGATATTTTCATCACACATTTTAAAGCATATATATTATTATTACACACATTACTACTAACATCTGAATTTTATTTTGAGCTATCTTCTCTGGTTTCAGTCTTTCTGTGTAAGAAATTTAAGGACATAAACTCATGGAAAAGGAAAAATCATTATAAAAGAGATATAATACAATTTTAAATAAATTTACAAAACCAATCCATATTTGTTATGATTTAAACTACATCACTTCCCTATCACTTTGATGCTTTGATCCCTCTGCATTTATTTTCTTGGGTTTTATAGGCTAAAGCAGTTAGGTCATTTGCTTAACCACGGTGCTACACCCAAGAATGCAAACTGTCACAGGAATGGGATAGATCCAAAGCATCTGTAATGAAGAAGGTAGAGAATCCAGACAGGAACACAGATACCTCTCTTAGCACTGTTCTTTGCAACAATCTGGTATCATTAGCATATGTGTGTATCTACACAAAGCCTAACAAACAGTCTGATGTACACTAAGTTGTACGTTACTCAAAAGGTGCATACGTTGTTCTATCTTGCAATCCTAAATCGTAATGCTCAGATTAAGATACTGTACTTCACACACCAAATGACAGAGGACCATAGGTTCTGAAGGTGAGTTGCTGAGTAGTGGCTTTCATCATCTAACACAGAGCCTTACTTTATCCACAAGTGAATACCAAAAGGTTGTACACAAAAACCATGAAGGGAGAAAGGGAGAATGATTCATGGCAACAGAATAAAATATGCATTAAGGTTTAACAATTAGTGAGTGTAGGCAAAAAAAATACTAGAAAAGTAATGCACAAACATTTTTCATTATATACCTAAGACACTGTCAGTAAAAAAAATATCAGTAACAGATTGCTTTTTAAATTATAGCACTATGAAGATACAGAAAGTTTAAAATGCAAGTATTAAGATAGTTAATCAAAAAATATTTTAAACTATATAGGTGACAGGCTGATTTTTAAAAATCAGAAGCTCCAAATGGCCAAAAAATGGCAGTTACAACCTCCTTCCTCAGAAAAGCAAAATGAAAACCCTTTGGTCCTTATAAAAAGTGCATGTTATTATTTGGGACTGTTAAGCTTATTTCTTTTTTTGTCTTGTAATGCAGTGATGCTATTAATCACTCTGGAAATATAAATTATAGCTTTGTTAAAAAAGAAAAAACTATGAACTCTTCAAAGAAAAGGTTCAGTTTAAATACAAGTATTTCTGATGATTTATATTATCATAGTTTAAATACACTCAGGTGAAATACAAAAAACTCAAAAGTCTACTTTGTTTAATGTAAAATACAGAAGTATCTACATATTTTATCTAGTCACACTATGAGGATTAACTCAGAGACAACATATAGGATAATGTGAATTCATGTAAGTGTTTTGCAGTGATCATCAAAAAGTCTTCTTTTCAGATTCTGTAGTTTAACAGGCCCATGGCAAACTATGTAATGAGAAAGGGGACATTTCACATAAAAGCTGTATGTCAATCCACGCAGTTTACTTGACGAAAGTTACTTTGTTGGGTTACACAGGATTCAAGTCTGTGACTTATTTCCAAGCAGTGTTACTTGGCTGATAAATACTGCATGAACTTTGATGAGGCTGCCTCTTAAATAGAGGTCAATATGAAAACTAGAGCAGCTATTGTCTCAGAGACATTTATATTTAAATACAATTGAACAGTTTGGATCAACCATACAGAAGTTTCTTACATGGTTTATAGTTACTCTTTCTCTTTTCTGGTTATTTTCTCTTAATCATTTCACTGTTAACTAACAACTCTGTAACTTCAGAGATAGGATAATAACAGGAAAATAAACCTCAGATTCATCAGTGGTGGTTGAAATTAATTTTTAGAATCCAGCTTACTCCAACTAATGGAAGAGAAGACTAGTCTGAATAAAGTCTGAATCATTTTAAAAAGCAGTATTATTACATTTAAAGTAGTATTATTACATTTTAAGCACAAAAAAATCACTCCAAAGATCTACAAGATAGTAGACTACTTTTACATGAGTATTAATATGTACATATAAATTCTCTTTATATTTTGATATGGCTTATTTTTAATAGAATTAAAGAGTCTACTTATATTGTTCATTTCCTCAAAAGTGGGTAAATTTTAGCCTCACCTTTATCAAAAACAGAAAAAAAAATTAGTAAGATTTTATGTATTTGGAACCCAATAATTACAAGCCATCCTACTTAGTTTTCCCTAAAATTAAAGACAATCTTAGCTACTAAATGCCTTCCTATGATAACTGCTGATAAAAAGATAGTAGTAAATACATGCATTATGTTTCCCTTACCAATATGAGCTCTGTCAGATATGATAAGTCTTTTTTCCCAGCCTTCCAGACCTAGAGGAAAAGATATATTTAATTGAACATTTAATAGAGTAATTTTTAAATCTTAATTTCTTGGGAAATTAAATGTTCAAAAGCATTTTTCTCTGAAGTAATGACTTTCATATTGTTTCTTTGGCATGGAAGAAAATTATTTTTTAGTATTTTTAAAAACCTAAAATATTTAATAGGAATTTTCTCCCCTCATTCATTATATATACAAACTCATTCACAAATTCTATCTTTTCAACTGTTTTCTCTAAAAAGCTCTTTTTGTGGGGGGGAGGGTGCGTAGATTTAGGTGAAAAGCTAGGGAGAATTTTAAGAAAAGGGAGTTAATTTTGGGAATGGCACCCTTTTCCAAAAGACAACTATGAAAAGTATTATTAAACAAAATACTAAAATATTCTAACTTCTCCAAAGTACTATCAATTACTGTACTTAGCTCACTGATTTATAACAAGACATTTGTATCTCCCCTTTTAACTGAATACCTAAGAGCAGGGGCCATGAGTTTTCATAGTGTGGGGACCATCCAATATTCAAAAAAACAACTGTTGAATGAATAGATATATGAAGCTAAATATTTTTCTATAAAGACAGGATCTTAGTAGGCTATATGTATTTTAAGGATAAGCCACCAAGCTCCAAACATTTCCGAAACTATTTGGATACTAAAAATTAGTTGTTAATTTTTATACTGGCCAAAGATTTTCTTTGAAGATTATTCCTTATCGATTAAAGAGCGAACCTCCTCACTAATGTGCTAAAAGATAAACTGGAATATTAAGCCTCCCCTTCTAGATGTTTCTGGCATGTAACTATGTATTCTAAAGTTAGCTTAGGGAATATTATAAAGAAAATGTTACCAAAAAACTCAGTAAGGTAGATTCAACTGGTTTACAAAGACCAGAAGGAAATGGAAAGTAGGGCAAAAAAATTTTTTAAGGAAATCAAGGAAAGCAGAGAGCAGCCATGGGAATCTCAAGTTCACCAATTTAAGAAGCAGACACCAACACATAGGTAAGAATGCAGGGAGGACAACAGAGATGGTAGCAAGACAGGAGTCTGTGAAATCAGACTTAATTATTAGAAACAAAGACAAGTTACTTTTAAATCTGAACAGTATAGCAATGTAGTAGAGAATTGAGTATTTTAAATGGGAACTAAACTAAAGGGAAACTACACTAATGACTCTCCTCAACTATGTATTATTTACATTGCCAAATTCCCCACAAGCCCTGCCAAGGTGGCCAAATTGACTGTAAACAGACTTCCAAAAATTCAAGAGATTAGGAAAGGCAGGATTTCAAAGGCTTTTTTTTTTAAAGGAGATGCAAGTAGATAATTTGCAGAGAAGGAGCATTTACCTCCTGGGAGGGAGGAACGAATACAACCTTCTTCCATCCCTGGGCTGAAGCCATCAACGGACCCCCAGATCCTCTAGAAACAAGACTGACAGTGTGTCCTGAGTAGGCTGCAGTGGCTTCCAGCCTGCCCTAAGCTGACTTTTGGTGTGGACAGAAGGGGATGCTAACTTGAGCAAATGATGAAATGAACTCACAGATTTCCGATTTTGCCACCAGTATATGATAATTCCATCTACCTAAAGTCTGCAAACGACCAATATGTTAAAGTCAGGATATACACAATGACATTATGTTTGCCTTTTGTTTAAAATATTAATTATGATAAAATTTAATAACTGACATTAAAATTTCTTCTCCTATAATGACCTGCAATTTTAAGACATAAGACAAAAAAGTTAAGTTTGTGTGGCATGAGATTCCCAAAATAAAATTTTATAAAACAAACAAACAAACAAACAAACTGGTTACCAGGCAGATTCATTCTTTCATACCTTTTCCTTTCTGAACATTTTTTTCTGCTTCCTCAAACAATCCAGGTAGATGAATTACCACACCGTTTCCTAAAAGAAAGCAAACAAATCTCAAACTTAAGCAACTCTATTTGTAATATAGATACAGAATGATATTAAAATATAAACATCTACAATAACCCTTTATCTAGAATAGTATAAGAGTAGGGGACTTTGATTAATAGGACATTCTGATATATCAGGGAGTTATCAAAGAAACAATTTCCAGTTGTAAACAGTACTATAATGTAAATACATAATATAACATAAAACACTAAAATTACACTCAATATAATTTGAAATTTCTTTGAAGCAAAATGGAACTATTAATTTAGAAGAAACTAGTTACATAGTTTTAGGCAAATTGAACCAGGTCACATTAGACTATAGTTCAGTGTCTTTCAAACCAGGAAAGTCACACCCTACTAGTAGTCATAAAATCAGTTTAGAAAGTTATAATTAACATTTTTATAAGTAAAAATCTAAAACAGAAAACATGACTGCATCATATATTATAAGGGCTCAGAATCAATCTATGATACCTACATCTTTTGCATTTCTTATTGTGTGTCACAGTGTTTGGAAAACTGACTTGATCTAATGCTTCTTTATAGAATTAAGATTGCTAGCGATCACAGATAAATGTTAAGTAATCATTCAAAAAAGTATTAACACTAAAAAAAGAGTCATAAAATTGCCAAAATTAGGTATATTCCAGAAGGTACCAAGGACAAAATTGACAAGGGATCAATGAATTATTTGATTAGTGAGAAATGAAATCAGTTTAGATAATGAAAAAGGAACACTATTACCAACTGCGGCGAAAATCCCAAGCAGTTCAGTTTATGTACTTACCAATGAATGCAGTAACATTTGGATTAATTATTCCACTGGGTAAAAGATGGAAATCATATTCCACAGAATCTACAACAACTGTATGGCCAGCATTATTTCCTCCCTGCAATGCAAGACATGGGAAAATTGAACCTAACAATAAATAATGACCAGTAATATAGCTCCTTCCAAAGTGAGAATGATTTCCTGCTAAAATTTCAATGTATCTAAAGGAAATCCAGGTATTGCCATGAATACTTATTCTTTAGAGGCTTTTCAATAGTTTGGCTATATTCTCTCCTTCCCTCATTATGGTACATTTGACTGGTTATTCCTGACATATCTGGAAATTCAAGAATTCTGGTTTCTGGAAGACAGAAAGACACAGCCCTTCTTAAAAGAGAAAAAAAGTGAGAAGTACAAAAGAAATTAGTTTGTTATTCTGTTTTTGGTACTATGTAGGACACACAGCAATCTAATTAGTTATCCGTGATATTTTACCTATATAAAAAAATCTCTTAAGAGTAATCTATCCAATTACCCTAAACTTACAAATATTCGCATGATTGTCCAAAGAGTGTGTCAAGCAATTTTGTGACCTGAAATTTGTATTCTTACATGGACTTAACAGCTAGACAATCTCCCAAGTAACTCTCTCAAATACTGGTTATACTGAGTCTCTAATTTTTAAATTTATGTATCAATCTTGTGAGTTTGGTTAGTGGCAGATCCCTTGTAACTGCTCCTCTCTCGATAAAGTAATACACTGGGTCAAGAAACCTCTAAAGCTGAGACTCACACTAAACCCATGTGACATTTCCATTCTATGAAGCTTGTGCCTAAATGGTCAATAAAAAGCAAAATATGAAGCCAAATTATAAGGATCAGGAACAAAGGAGATTGAATATTAAGAGACCAGATAATTCTTCTCATTTCTAAGTTTAAAAAGCATGGGGATGGCTAGTCATCAGAGAAATGCAAATTAAAACCACAATGAGATATCACCTCACACCAGTAAGGATGGCCACCATACAAAAGACAAACAAATGTTGGCGAGGTTGTGGAGAAAGGGGAACCCTCCTACACTACTGGTGGGAATGTAAATTAGTTCAACCATTGTGGAAAGCAGTATGGAGGTTCCTCAAAATGCTCAAAATAGAAATACCATTTGACCCAGGAATTTCACTTCTAGGAATTTACCTAAGAATGCAGCAGCCCAATTTGAAAAAGACAGATGCACCCTTATGTTTATCCAAGCACTATTTACAATAGCCAAGAAATGGAAGCAACCTAAGTGTCCATCAGTAGATGAATGGATAAAAAGGAGATGTGGTACATGTACACAATGGAATATTATTCAGTCTTAAGAAGAAAACAAATCCTACCATTTGCAACAACATGGATGAAGCTAGAGGGTATTATGCTCAGTGAAATAAGCCAGGTGGAGAAAGACAAGTACCAAATGATTTCACTCATCTGTGGAGTATAAGAACAAAGGAAAAACTGAAGGAACAAAACAGCAGCAGAATCACAGAACCCAAGAATGGACTAACAGTTACCAAAGGGAAAGGGACTGGGAAGGATAGGTGGGAAGGGACGGAGAAGAAAGGGGGCCTTATGACTAGCATATATAATGCGGCAGGGGAAGCGGGGAGGGCTGTGCAACACAGAGAAGACAAGTAGTGATTTTACAGCATCTTACTACACTGATGGGCAGTGACTAATGGGGTATGTGGGGGGGACTTGGTGAAGGGGGGAGGCTAGTAAATATAATGTTCCTCATGTAATTGTAGATTATTGATACCAGAAAAAAAAGAGTATGAGAAAAAATACAAATCAATCGACAGTGGTGGCCTATAATCTGCAGGATGACAGGAGGGTAGCAAGACACAAGACAGAAAGAAGCAGAGCATCAAGCAATACCTCCTTGGTATCACTAATGGAACACTAAATTTAAATCACAAAACTTAATAGATTTTTACAAAATTGTTATAAAGTATTGGTAACTATGAGATAACCAATAAACGGATATTATTTAAGTAGAACCTGGGTTTTTTTTAATCCATCATTTGCTTAATATAAAAAACAAGCTATCTAATTTTTAGAGCAGGCCTTTAAAGTAAGTCTCCTCCAATTTACACAAAATTATTTTTATAGATAAACCAATATAATCATTTGTGAATTAACTTAGTGATGCACAATAACAATCTTGTACAACAAAACCCCTACTCTCTTAGATATTTTACCAAGACAGGCAATGATGCTGGCTGATCTGTCTGTTTGAGACAGGTAGTTGTGAGTGGTTGTGACAGATAACTTTAGAGGGATAAATTGGTTTAATTCTTTTAAGTTCTTCCAACTTTATGGGTGGTGATTCAGGCTGGAAAAGACCAACTGCAAAAGGCTTGAAATCACACTTTAGTCAACAGCTTGCTCATTTAAAGATTAACCAACTTTTTCAATAAACAATTTCTTACTAAGGATTACTTTATGAATTAAATCTCATTTAAATTGTTTCATTATAGGAGAATGAAACTGGATTACTAACTTCATACACAACAGTAAATTCAAAATGGCTCAAAGACATGAATGTAAGTCATGAAACCATAAAACTCTTACAAGAAAACATAGGCAAAAATCTCTTGAATAAAACATAAGCAACTTTTTCCTGAACATCTGAACATCTTTCCTGAACCTTGCCTCCGGGAAGGGAAACAAAAGCAAAAATAAACAAATGGGACTACATCAAACTAAAAAGCTTCTGTACAGCAAAGGACACCATCAGCAGAACAAAAAAGGCATCCTATAGTATAGGAGAATATATTCATAACCAAAGTATCTGCTAAGGGGTTGACATCAAAATACATAAAGAACTCACACACCTCAACAAACAAAAAGCAAATAACCCAATTAAAAAATGGGCAGAGGATCTGAACAGATACTTCTCCAAAAGAAGAAATTCAGATGGCCAACAGGCACATGAAAAGATTCTCTACATCCTTAATCATCAGGGAAGTGCAAATTAAAATCACAATGACATAGGACCCTACACCAGTTGGATGGCCAACATCCAAAAGACAAGCAACAACAAATGTTAGCGAGCATGAGGAGAAAGGGAAACCCTCCTGCACTGCTGGTGGGAATGTAAATTAGTTCAAACATTGTGGAAAGCAGTATGGAGGTTCCTCAAAAAACTAAAAATAGAAATACCATTTGACCCAGGGATTCCACTCCTAGGAATTTACCCAAAGAAAACAAGATCACAGATTCAAAAAGACATATACACCCCTATGTTTATCACAGCACTATCTAGAATACCAAGACATGGAAGCAACCTAAGTGTCCATCAGTAGATGAATGGATAAAGAAGACCTGGTACATATACACAGTGAAATATTATTCAGCCTTAAGAAGAAAACAAACCCTACCATTTGCAACAACATGGATGGAGCTAGAGGGTATTATGCTCAGTGAAATAAGCCAGATGGTGAAAGACAAGTACCAAATGATTTCACTCATTTGTGGAGTGTAACAACAAAGCAAGAACTGAAGGAACAAAACAGCAGCAGACTCAGAGAATCCAAGAAGGGACAAGTGGTTACAAAAGGGAAAAAGGGTGGGAAGGGCAAAAGGGAAGGGTGGGGAAGGGGATTAAGGGATATTTCGATCAGGACACATAATGTAAGGCGGGGGCATGGCGAAGGCAGTATACCACAAAGACAAGAGGTGACTCTATAGCATATTACTATGCTGATGGACAGTGACTGTAATGGGGTATGGGGGGGGCCTTGATAATAGAGGTGAATGTAGTAACCACAATTGTTGCTCATGTGAAACCTTCGTAAGATTATGTATCAATGATACCTTAAAGAAAAATTCTGTTTTCACTGAGTAGGAAAGTATGGCTAAATATATCCAGAAAAACCCTACGCTTTCCTATTAAGAAGCTAGGGGGGAAAATGTTAAGTATTTATTAGTATATAGGGTCACTAGTGCCCCATGGGAGAGTTGGGTATGGTTGCCTCTAATCTTAAAAACATACTGTGCAGAGAAGATCCCTGAGGTGAACTGAGAAAGAGCTACTCATAAAGTTTCTTGACAAGTGCATCTAAGTATGAAGTAAGTTTTAGTATAGTGTCATATTTCACAAAATGCCACAGATGAAGCTCTAAATTCGAACTGCCTATTTGGATACTAACCTAAAATATTTGTAAATTTGTCTGGAATATACAAAATTCACCTTGGGAGGCTCAGGCAATTGTCCTCAAACACAGATTATACTGGTCCAAGGAGAGGTCACATACATTAACTGACAGCAAAATAAAGTTTGGTTTCAATATGAGCACTATTGCCAACAACTACCACCTCGCACTCCCATTCAACACACAAAAAATTACAAAGGCAGATACTCTGAAGTGCACGCTTCCATATCTGTGATGGAACTGCTTCTAAAGTGAGTAAGTCTATGTAGTGTGCACCAGGACAAGTAGCAGGCACATACTTGTTTAATCACCCTTAATGATTCTTCTAAGCAGCACTGGGACACTAGATAGAACCATATCAATGATGGGAGATAATTTTTTGTTGTTGTTCTACTTTTCTCAGCCAAAATTTACCCAAACCAAACTTGGTAAATTATTCCACCAGATATAGTATGAATCACATGTTGATATTAACAGTTACATGTAATTACCTATTGAAACCTTGCTAAATTTCCATAACACTCATGATCGCAGACACTCATGCAGCGTTTAACAAATAATTTTAATCACCATGGCTGTTTTATATTACTTAACTAAAAAAACAGTATGTTCAATTAACTGCTACACAAAGAGCTGTGGGATAGCAATTGTTTTCCAGGTCAATTATATCTTATATCAATAGAGAAAATATTTTTAATGATTCTGAGATATCTTAATTTTTTGAACACTTTTTATTTTGATATATATCCTCTAAAACCCCAAGAAACAAACAAAAACAAGTGTGAATCCAAAAATGGCTGCATGTTATATGGCATATTTCTCTGAGGAAAAAAACATAAGTTTATAATGCCTTATTTGATGCTCTTTCCTGTATTAAATACCAGAACAAATTAAAGTGAAGAACACATGAAAGTAAATCCAA